CCCCAGCCAGCCATGCTGGCTGGGGAATTCTGGGAGTTGGTCCTCATATCTTAAAGTCTCTAAGGTTGAGAAACACTGCTCTAAGCATAAGCGGAGTGTGAGTTTTCTTTCAAAAACTGACAATGACTCAACTTCACATATTAAGACCTTTAAGTTTTAGACAGACCACTTTCATATATTTCTGTTAAATATTATATTTATGGCCATTGCAGAGAAGGTATTCTCAGGCATGGTTAACTGCTGAGCTATTTAAAAAAAAAACTTGCACACTCCCACACACAAAACAAAGCATCTTCCTGCCATTTCTTTCTTCCTGTCGTGTTTGAGATCTTAGCCATTTGATATTTAATGTGCTTTTGTTTATTTGGTTTATATCAACTGTTGGAATCTTTCTGCTTCATGGCTTTTTTCTGAAAGTTTTATTGTTATACTAAAATTTGTCTAATTAAAAACAATAGGAAGGATGGCTTTGGGACAGCTGATGCGATAGCTGAAAAATGTTTGGTCTCCGCACCTCTCCTCTTAGAAATCACATAACTTGTCCTCTCATGCAATGTATCTTCTGTAGCAGGAAACAAGATGAAAAGGGTTTTGAATAGTTTTCATTTACGATCGGCTTATATATCAAGAGGGTTTGTGGTTGTCCCTCTGGTGCTGTCTCTCACTTGCTAACTGGTGGCCATTTGGTATCTACTACGTCAAAGCAGTGTGCCACCAGCTTCCTAAACTCTTGGTAGGAATTTGGCATTTTTGGTAGTGCTCTGTTCTTTCTTTTCTGTGCCTGTTTCCTTCCATCCATCCATCCATCCATCCATCCATCCTTCCTTCCTTCCTTCCTTCCTTGGTTGAAGTATTGATTCAGTTCAACACAGAGCAGTAAATGCTTCCTGTGCTGTTAATAAGCCACCCCAAATTCCCGCGCATGATACCAATATCAGCAGGATGTGTTGTTTGTATGTTCTTTGTATTGTGGAAGCTGGTAGAAAAGTTCCCTGCCGCTCGGGAAAATAAGTAGCTTGCAACAGTGGTTTCTGCATCCTAATCTCGTCTCTAATTTATGCTAAACTTTGTGGATCTTTTGCTCAGAATAGTTTGATTTCTCTTGCCCATATTCCACTTGATGGTACATTTGGGGTATGTAGAACACCAGTTTTGAGTGGGAATGTACAACACTGAGAAGTCATGGGTTCTTTGGGCTGCCAAGGTAGGTTTGGCTTGTCTGCTAAGACAGCTGCTTGCAAGATTACTGAGTGAGATCCCAGCTCGCCGACTGCGTTCTGTCTCTAGCGATTTAAGGACCGAAATCAAATCCTTTGCAGATTCACAGATGAGCACGCTGTTAATTGCTTCGCCACCTGCTCTCTGACCGTCTTCTCCCTAATATTCCAGAACTCAGTCTGTTAAGTATCACTGATTGGTAACTGACAAGGACAGATGCAGAACTGGGCAGCAGTGAAAAGTCTCATGCCTTTGCACGTTAGCATCCTGGTGTTTCCAGTTGCCTGTGGTGGTAGCTTTATTGACGTTAAGCTCTCCTCTTGTTACTCTTATTCCTGGCACTTGGGTTTTTAGAGAGGATCAGGATTCTTGGTGTGTCACCCAAGAGCTGGTGTGTGCTCCTCCTGAGTGATGTTTGCATGTTGTTGGGTATATTGCAAAATATTCGCTGGGACCGAACAGTTCGTTTGGGCAGAGTATCCTCATGTTTCTGCTGCAGTTCACAGGTAAGGTCCGCATTCTGGAGGAGTGAGCTTAACCCAGGAAGTCTTCCTCTCCAAAATGTTGGCTTTGAGCAGTATTTATCAAGGGGTGGTGAGGTTAAACCAAGCCAGCTAAAATCAGTATTCCAGGTAGAGTGTAATGCTTAGTCTTTGCTCCCTGATTTTTGCTCTCAGATTACCTTGATTTAGCAAGAATACCATTTAATTATGAGATTATTAAATTAAATCTGTACTCTGTCCTATTGAATTGTAATTACGCCATCCTGAAGGCATCCCATCTTTTAACTTTCCAGATCAGTTCTGGAGTTAGAGACAGTTTTATCTTGAAAAGAATGTTCAGTATTTTCTTAACGTCATTTTTTTTGGTCATAGCCTTTTTAATTTCCTGATTCTTTATGCATTGAGATGTGTGTCAGGAAGGGATTTAAAATCCCTTTTAAATGTTTCTATGCATTGATAGATGTTGGGTGGAAGATATTTCTAGCTGTGGCTTGAAACAAAAGGAGACTGAAGGAAAGTACTTTTGGGTTTTAAACTTCGAGTTTTAAACTATTGAGAAAACAATACTGTAAATGTCTCCGCTTTCTTTAAGTCACCTCCTATTGGAAACTAAGTTCTGTGTTTTATGCAATATGCCATGGAAATGCTTTGTGACAAATAATTGTGGAAGAT